AACACACCCATCCATTTTCTACTTCGTAATATTAATTCCGATACCTATAACTTTCCATACATTGATTCGATATGTGATTTCCACAAGTCACATTGAATACCTTAATTTCCATATGCACATCTGGATATGTTAATTTCGATATGATAATTGAAAATGCTAATTTGGATTTATTATTTTAATTAAATTATTTATACTTGGAACATCGTACCGATGATGACCGTCTACAACAGCGTTAACACCAGAAAAGATCGACAATTCTACAAAGAGATAACAGATTTATTTATTATATATTGAAATATATATTATAAAATCATTTCGTTACTGCATTTCTTTTCATTTTGACTATAAAATTAGTATAAGTTTTTCTCAAGTTACTTCTTTCATAAAATTGATTTGATACCTTCGTCATTTTCAGTTTAGCATCGCTAGATGTCAGACTATAACATTTACACTACTCAAAACTAGGTTATTGGTCTTTTCTTTCCATAAATACATGCTGTGCAGATCCAGTTTGAGTTATTTCTTTTCATTCTATTCTATCATCCACATTTTCTCGCTTCGCTTATTCATGTTTCTGCTATTATTTATCCTCGACTATATAATGTTCTGTCCCTTTCACATTGAATGTGAAATATAACGATCAACACAAGGTAATTTTTTTTATGTAAGCTTACAGATTCTTTATCAATTTTTTATCATAAGTTTGATTCTGCATCTTTCACCAAGAGCCACAGTATCTTTATTAAACGAATTCTTTTTGCAAAGTTTTAAAAAAAAAGCAGGTTATTTCATGACACCCACACTGAGAGCACTTGATGTAAATCGTTGTTTGCGCAAAGTATGAAAAAAAACGTGTTAGATTTGACTACCTCGACCGACTTTGTAGCAATTAAATCGAAGTTTCAAAAGTATGCATTCGAGAACAGAACCGACAAAAAAAACATCGATCGGGAGAAAATTGATTATCATCAATAAAGCATATGCAGCGACCCAATAAATATGTAATTGCTTAAAGGTGGTAGCAGTTTATGAGGCAAAATGGAAATAATTAACATTGCAATGTGTGAAAGATATGTATCCTTCAATGTCAGTGTAATGAAGTAATATCAATACATCTTCATCATTGTGGGTACCGCAATAAACATATACTCTCTTGTCTTTCTAGATTAAATTGAAATTTTACTACATTTACGTTTTATAAGCGAAAAATCATGAGACGAATGAAACCAATACGACCAGGAAAGTTCCAAAATCAACAGCCAAAATCTTATCAGTTTCAATTTAATGTTGCTGAATCAAATGAAACGGACAATACAACAACAACAACTGCTGTTGAAGTAGTACCATTGGGTGAGGAGTCACAACAGCAGAGTTTAACTTCCGATCAGTTACAGGCTTTGTTCCGCCAAGCAAGTTCTGAATTGGTAGCAGAAACAACAGATGAACAGGAATTCTTCAAGCGTGAAGCAACAATTAAAGCGCCTAAAACATCAAAAGTAATACAAACACCATTTCCAGCTCCTTTATTAGAACGTAAAGAAGACTTCGAATTAGATATTGAACAATTGAAACAATTAGCTAAACAAGATGCAGGTCCACTCATCATCGAAAGATATTCTCCTAGTGAAGAACTAATTGATTACGTACTTCCAGCAGCAACGTTAACATTTAATCAACCAATGGTTCCTGTATCCTCATTGGATGAAAATACAAATGTCGAAGAACTTGGAATATCGTTAACACCGAAAATAGAAGGCAGATGGAGATGGACAGGAACAAAAACACTTCAATTCGAGGCAAAACATCGTTTTCCATATTCGACAAAATTTACACTAAAAGTTGACAAAGAACGTTGTGTATCAGCCCTAGGAAGTAAAGCTACTTTGATTTGTACACCTAGTTTTTGATGATTTGATTAATTCTAGGAAAGTTAGCCGAAGCATTTGCTTTTCAATTTTCGACAGATACAGCAAAAGTGACTAATTTTTCACCTCATGGAATGGTTCCAACATTAAAACCGAAATGTTTTCTATTATTTAATCAAAAAATTGATACGAGTGAAATTTTGAAGCATGTACGCGTCGTAAGCAGTAGTGGAAACGAGATTCAAAATCAAGAATTAGAAATCTTAGATGAAGCAACAGCAAAGAGTGAATTTGAATCAAACATAGAAGCTGATGAAGGAAATCACGAGAAATATATTGCTTTTACGTTTAAAAATGATTTATCGAAAGCAACAGAATATACAGTTCAACTACCTATAGGCTGTCCATCAGCTGAAGGTCCATTAAAGACAACATCCGAGTGGTCAACTAGCTTTTCCACTTACGAACCATTGAAAATAATCGATTGGTGTCCTAGTGAAAAACATTCATGGCAACAATCTGCTGCTCCCGGTCAAAGTTGGTCGGTCACATTCAATAATTCATTAGATCACTCAACAGTCAACAAATCATTATTCAAAATTGAACCAGAAGTCAATGGTTTAGGTAAATATACACCGCCTGTGTTTGGGTGGATGAGAAACGTTTTCCTAAACAAAAACATTATCGTTTAGGTATCGAGCATATGGAATACAATGACCGACAAGTTACGATACATAATGATTCAAAACCAAACACCGTTTACACACTGGTCATAGAGGCAGAATCATTAAAAGACATTCATGGCCAGACATTGGAACACGATTTCTCTGCTAAACCAATTCAATTTAAAGTGCATGATCCACCACCATTAATGGGAGATATATCGGGTGCTACAGGTAATATAGCACAATAAACATTGATTGTTAATTCAACGAAAACTTTGTTGTAGGTATGGTTACGATGGATCCTGGTGTATTAGATGAACCGTTTTATCCATTTATGGTTTATAATTTTTCCGAATTAACAGTTCGTATTAATCGGGTAAAACCAGAACATTATGATCAAATGTTACCATGCTTTAATTCATATGCATATACCATGGAAGATCAACCGTGGTACAATAAACTACCTGGCGAAGAGTTATTAAATGAAGTAATGCAAACAAATTGTGAGCGTGATGAACCGAAAGAAATAAGAATTTCGTTGAAGCAATATCTAAATCAAAACTCAGGAACAGGACAATTAATTCTATTAATTGAACCAACAAAAAAAGCATGGAGCGAATGTCAAAATCATGATTGGCAATATCGACAAGTAAAGTCAGCCTGGATACAATGTACACGGCTAGCGGTTGACCTATTTGTTTCTACAGGTATTTTGCCTTAAAAACTTAACTGATCGAATCAGTCAGCATATTTAATATAGGTAACAATGACGCATTGACTGCATGGGTTACTGAATTAATGACCGGTGCACCTGTTCCTCAAGCCACTGTCATTGTACCAAATAAAAAGGGAGAAACCAATCAACAAGGTTTATGTACTATTGAAAAATACGTGACCGGAAACGATCAAACAAATAAAATATTAGTTGTAGAAAAAGGTGATGATCTGTGTATGTCAGTAAATATTCATGCTTATCCATCATACATGGACGTTTATGTTTGGCATGCGTTCAATGATCGAGGTTTATACAAACCGAAAGAGGATGTGCATATAAAAGGTTATGTTCGATTATTGGAAGTGAAAGGTGAAGCAAGATTACCAACTTATGTTCAAGGTACCATTGATTATACGGTACATGATCCTCGTGGTGAGCAACTTCTCCAGTCAAAAGTCAAGTTGAATACTTATGGTGCATTTGATATTCAATTTACATTGCCTGACAATGTCAATCTAGGTAATTTCCTATAAGAAAAAGAGAAACAAATTGATTTTGAGTTTGTGTTTGTATTATATTTAGGCAATGCGTACGTAGCATTCATCTTACCAGATTCAGTAAATAGTTACACACATCAATTCAAAATTCAAGAGTTCAGAAGACCAGAATATGAAGTTTCATCAACGATTCAATCAGCAACAACCTATTATTGTCATCCAACCACGGATCAACATGCCATCGTTACTTGTCAAGGAAAATTGTTCTCAGGTGGTTATCTAAACGATGCAAATGTCCGATGGACAGTACGAGCTGAAACTACCAAATTTAAACCAGCTAATCGATCTGAATATACATTTGGTAGAGCTGAACCGATGTTTTTCTGGTTTCGTCATAATGATGAAAACAAAATATCATATCCTGCAAAACATATTCAGGTAATAGAATTTGCATTCGAATACCTAAACATGAGTTGAGAAATCGTCTTTCTTTTAGGGTACAACAAATGATAAAGGTATGCATGAAATCAAAATTAGTTATCACGGCATTGAAGAAGAACCAAGACCAACGGTTGTGTCTGCATTGGCAGCTATTACTGATATAAATCATCAAACACAAGAAACACAAACACAATTTATCGTACACCCATGTACTTACTATGTTGGATTTCAAATGTCAACATACTTTGGCAAGAAAGATAAACCTGTACCAACAAAAGTCATTGTAACCGATGTTGATGGAAATTTAATTGATAATATTGTTGTTGAATGCAAAATAGTTGGAAGTGGTAAAGAAAGAAAAGAAGATGAAAATGGTTTGACCATCTATGAAAACGTCAAAGATGAACAAGTCATAACGGCTGTTAGTTCAAGTAAAGATGCCATCAACATTGAATTTACACCAAAATTAGGTAAATCAAAGTGCTATTTGTGAATATAAATCTTGTATTTCTGTTCGATACTAGGTGGTGAGTACAATATTTCATTTACTATCAAGGATGAGCAAGGACGATCAGCTATGAGTTTCTACGACGGTCTTTACGTCTGCGGTGGTTTCGGAAAAGAAATGGAACAACAAAAGGTGGATTATGTTCCAATGGAAGAAGTCAAAATCGTACCAAATGCAACGAATTATCAACCAAACGACGCATGTGAACTACTCATATTAGCTCCGTTCAGTCCAGCAAATGGTCTACTTGTATTTGACTGTGATGGTCAAGTTTCGCAACCGATTCCATTTCAGATCGAATCGGGACAAAGTTCGACGACTGTTGAATTTAAAATTTCAAAAGACTGGGTCCCAAGCTTCACCGTGCATGCCGAATTAGTAGGCACAGCTCCACGACAAACTGAAGTAACTGATTCACAGAATCGTCCAGCAATTGCTACTGGTTCACAATTAATCGAAATATCCAGAGATGTTTATAAACTAGACGTTTTAGTTAATACAAAGGAAACAAATAAAGTGTTTACACCATCATCAATCATCCATATCGATGTGGACGTTACACAATATGTTGACAAAGCACCTTTAGACAAAGTTGAAGTTTGCTTGGTTGTTGTTGATGAAGCAATTTTATCATTAACTGATCACAAATTGGCTAATCCATTAGATTTATTTTATCCTAACCGATTAGCAAGTATCCAGCAATTTCATGATAGAGATCGTTGTTTGGTATTCAGTAAGCAAGATATCGAAAAGTTCAAGAAAGATATGCAACAAAGCTACAATTCATCCTCGATAATGGCAGACACATGCTGTTTCAGAACAGCGTCGAGGAAGCTGCGTATGGAGGCTTGTGGAATCGGCGGTTTTGAAGGTTCTGGTCCTCAGGAAAAAATAGCTGTTCGATCGAACTTCAATCCATTAGCGTGCTGGATGCCATCATTAATCACTGATCCATCAGGACATGTTTCATGTGAAATTAAATTACCTGATAATCTAACACGCTATCGCGTATGGGCACTGGCAGCCAATGATAAACAATATGGTTTGGGTGAAATGTCACTTACTGTACAATTACCAGTTATGGTTCGACCTTCACCACCAAGATTTCTTAACTATGGTGATACAGCTCATTTCTCAGTTATTCTACAAAATCAAACTGATTCATCATTACAATTACATGCTGGTCTACGCGCTAGTAATGCTAAACTGTTAGCATCACAAGAAAATCAACAAATGGCTGGTTACTCTGTTGCTCTACAGCCAAATAAACGAGTTGCTCTCACATTCCCATTGTCAACAGTACGTTCTGGTACGGCTCGATTCCAGTTCATGACCAGTACTGTCAAGAGTGAAACATCTCCATCATTTGGTGATGCCATTGAATTCAGTGTACCTGTATTCACTCCAGCAACATCGGAAGCATTTGCAACATACGGTGATGTGTCCGATGAAGAAGTTGTTCTACAGCCGATAAAAGCACCAGAAAATGTTATTCCACAATTTGGCGAGTTATCAGTATCAACAAGTTCTACAGCATTAGCATCATTAACCGATGCAATCATTGCGCTCTATACATATCCATACGAGTGTTCAGAACAATTAAGTTCAAGATTACTTGGTGTACAATCACTATGGGACGTTTTACAAGCATTTCAAAGTAAAGATTTACCCGAAGTATCCGAAGTGAAATCTAAGCTGGAATCCGACATGAAGAAACTTAAAGGCCGTCAATATTCAAATGGTGGCTTTGGTTACTGGACAAATCGAAGCGATTCAGATGCCGATCCTTTTATGAGTGTGCATGTTGCACATTGCTTGGTTGTTATTGATCAGAAAAAGGTAAATATCAATTCGCATGAAACTGATAGAAGATTGAACTTTCACATCCTTTTTTAAGGTATTTTCTGTTGATTACGAGATGCTGAACAGTGCACTCAGATACCTTGAGAATATAGAAGAAGAAATTAACCGCCTTCTATCCGCTAAGTACTGGTCTGAAACAACTCGCTTTAGTTTGGTGAGTTATACATTGTATGTCCGAGCGAAAAATGGTCAAAATGTGGCAAACGATGCTTCACAATTATTCCAGAAAGCTGGATTTAACAAACTCAGTTTAGAAGCATTAGGATGGCTATTGATAGCATTGTCAACAGATACGGATAATGCTCAAAAAAAAACCATTGAAAGCATTTACAAACATCTCAAAGGGAAGGTCAACGAAACAAGTGAAACAGCTAACTTTACTACATCGTATGGTGATGATGGTCAATCGGTCATGTTACATTCGGATCGTCGAACAGATGCTATATTATTAGAATCATTATTGCATATTGATCAAAACTCAACTCTATGCACTAAATTGTGTAAGAGCTTACAAGCACATAAAGTGAAGGGTGCATGGAAATCTACACAGGAAAACTGCTTCGTATTGATTGCATTGGATAAATATTTTCATATCAAAGAAAAAGATACACCAGATTTCGTTGCAAACATTTGGCTTGACAACGATTACTGTGGTCAACATCAATATAAAGGTGAGGTTATATAAAAAGAACTCGTGATAAATTTGACATTTTCGTATCTATACAGGTCGAACAACAAATACACACGTAGTAAATATTCCAATGAAAGCAATTTTGTCGTCATCATCGAACGCTGATGATAACAATAAAAATCTGATCTTGCATAAAGAGGGCAGTGGCCGATTATACTATCGTATAGGGTTGAGTTATGCTCCGTCAAGTCTACATTTGAATGCGGTTAACTTTGGCTTTAAAATTGAACGAACGTATATCGCTGTCGATGATTCATCACATGTTCAGAAACAAGAGGATGGCACGTGGAAATTCAAATTGAATGAGAAAATCAAAGTCATACTAACCATGACAACAACACAACGACGATATCATATAGCATTAGTCGATTACTTACCAGCTGGTTGTGAGCCATTAAATACGAAATTAAAAGGAACAATTACTGGAGATACAGAATCATCAGTATCGAGATCAAAACGAGATGTTTTCTTTTGCGGATTCCGGCCTCATTCGACTATTGGTTGGCCTGATCATGAAAATCTGAAAGATGAGCGTGCTGAAGCATTTCGATCATTATTATGGCCTGGTGTCTATGAATGGAGTTATGTAATGCGTGCAACGTGTGCTGGAACATTTATCGTTCCACCAACTAAAGCTGAAGAAATGTATTCACCAGAAAATTTTGGTCGATGCGTAACAGAAAAAGTTATAATTAACTGAACAGTAGACATTAGAATTGAAATTTCATACTTATTTTTCATATACTCATTGCTAACCTCATCACTAATCAAATTAGCTTCTGCGCACATACTTGAATAAAATTAATCGCTTGATATATTTTTATTGCAATTTAGAGTAATAAATTTCAATTACTGAAAAATCAAAGAGGTTTACGAGCATTGAAAACGATGTTGCCCACATCGGAAAATATAGGCGCATGCATATTATTTCGAGTTTCGATTAATTGTTTAACAAATTTTAGCAGATTCTTCAGAAACCGAGCATTGTTCATATTTAAATGGATACGATGTAGATGTTCGCAGACAAATTCATCTGCTCCAGTCCAGCCTTGTTCAAAAGCTTTTCTTCTTGTTCTGATCGTGGTTTTGGACATAAAATTAAACATTGGCAGTACGCTGTTTGTTCATCAATCGATTCAAAATAGAGAGTACCATTGAAAATAAACAACTGAACTAAGCAATCGTTTGATGTGACAAACTCTACAGTATGCCTCGGAAGTCCAACTAATGGAGGGACTGTAAGAGTTGGAGTATTGATAAAAATGAATTGATTTCGTTTCATACGGGGTAATAGTAAACATAACGTCGTGCTCACTGGATTCATCAGTTTTCCTTTACGATGAAGTTCACTTAAACGACCCATTACCCAATTAGCTTCAAAAGGACTGAGCAAAATTAGTTCTTGGTTGCGATAGATTAAGATCCACCGCAGTGGACGTAAAAATGGATTCAATGATTTTCCTTGGGTCGAAATAACACGCTGAAATTCAGTCAAAACCCACAAATTTTTCTGCCAACTATCGGCTTGACAGTCACTGAAAAATGTTGTACCAGTTAAGGCATAAGGCAAATGACGAAATATATGGGGATATTGTTTTAAATTCATTGCAACATCATCCATATCACATAGACGCTTTATTTCTTCATGCAGTATAGGCTTACACGGATTAAAAGGCGGGGAAAGTTCTATTTGTCGTTCTTCTTCTAATTCTTGTTCCAACTCTCTTTGTTGTTCTCCATCTAATAGCTGCGACAAACGCTGTTTGGTTCCGCCATAAACTTTGAGTCGGTTTAATACTGCACCGCGAATATCGTTACATACTTGATAAGAAGTGTGCTGATACCTGAGATCATGTATTTCAAGCAAGGTTTGCAATGTTTTCGCAGCCTCATACATAAGTTTAAGTTCAATGACTTGAGGTTCTAAACATCCCATTGCCGAGTCTTTCATCAGCTTATCACTGAATTGTTGTTGATTATTATTCCAATCAATTGATTGAAATGCCGAAACTTTTCGTTGAAAACTCAGACTTTGCGTTGCCCAGTAATGTAATCCACCCCAAGTTGCTTTTTCAGTATTGTCATAAACCCATCGAAGAATGTCTATCAATGTGTTCCTTCCATCACCTTTTCTTCTTTTATGATTGATATGAAGTGTTTTATTTTTCAATGTTTCAATTTGTTGATGAACTTCATTGGAACTCCAAAATGTTAATGAATGACCGCTCCCTAATTTTCTCATCCTCATACATGCTTGAACAAAACGATCTTTTGTTAAATTAATTCCCAATGTTACAGCAGCTTTAAATCCTACGGGAAACTTGAAATCAGTTCCTCTTGTGTGAATTTCATCGAGGTAAAATATACAACGATCCAATCGTTCACTCGCAGGCGATGTTGCAGATGGATAACGCATAGATATCATAATCCCAATACTAGGGTGTGGGGGTATGGGTGTCCGTGTAGTGAATTTCTACCCACATCCACGCACCCACAGCCACAGTCCACACCTACACTTACACCAACACCCATGTCAACTGTCATTCAAATCTATGCTTTCCACATATGAAAAAATCGTTCTGAAAAAGAGAATGCAGAGTAATATGCGATTTTTGTCCTTTAGGACTCTCGAAAGACGAGCATTTCTATACGAAAAGAAAAATTTATTTATCTCAAACTATGCTCAGTAGCAGAGACCAGCGAAATGACGAAAATTATGTCCCTTCCCAATGAAACACCATTCAACATGGAAAATATGTTTAGAAGAATAGTTGTAATCTTTTAGTTTGAAATTCTGCTACGGTTTTCTCAGATAGTTGACAGATCGTCTAACATGCTCGCTTGCTAGCAAATAATTCATGTACTATATTGGATCTTGTGATTTTTACAATTTTTTATAACGCATTTGTAGACAAAAAAAAACAAGTAGTTTATGTACGAAAGCCTGTAGGGACAATATTTGCTGGTGATAAAGCACGACCACAATGGCTAGAAAACTTATTGGTCTGAAAAAGCTAAAGAGTGACGTTTTGTGAAATATTTTAAAAAGACTTGGGCCACCCGTAAATTCCATCTAAAACCTTTTTCATCCCATCCAATCCCATCCCGCCTTAAGCTAATTTCACCAGGTTGCGGCTGGTTTCTGAGGATTTTTTGACTCAGTTTGGTTTCACAAAAACACGAACTGATCCCATCGCTATACCAAATAGCAAAAAATATTCTGGATCCACAACAATGGCGAAACTTTTTTCTATGTTCTACATAAGCATAAAACATCGAAGAAAAGTTTTGCCTAATACATTTTTTACAGAGTATGTATAACACCAATATCAGTATGCTGGACTACCTTTCTACCGGAAACGAGCTTTCTTACATAAGATAAAGTAATCATTATTTATTTATATTCAAATGCTTAGATTACATTTACCCTATTTGAGTCTTTGATGATAGAGAAACAAATTTCATTTGCCTGTTAGGAAATATGATCAACATGTGATTCTCCTTTCATATGAAATGTTATTATCGAACAATGATTAACATCATTGGTACTTTTACACTTTGAGGCCCGAAACAATCAACTTTCTCGCCCTCACCCTCACTTTCGTGCATGTTCTGTGACCAATTAGATGCCTGAGGTTCTAAAATGTAAACAGAATTACATTATTACTTGTAGTGACACAACACAATGGTCTCTTCTTGGTCTAACCACTTTAAATATGCAAATATTACTAATTACGAGTTGTAGCAGCCATTATTCAACGATCCTGGATGAATATTGTTTTAATTTGTTCTAGACAAGTTGCAGGAGGAAAATAATGGTTGCAGTTACTCAAATCTGCAGTGGGATTCAACGGCAAACAAGAAATCTTCTTGGAAAGTGAGAAAAAAAAGACATGTACACTGTTTTTTGTTATCATCATGCCACTTTTTCGCCGACTCCCCTTCGTCTATCATCATGGGAAGGCATTATATCTAATGTTGCTACTGACTGTCTTATGCTGTTGACACAACAGAACAGAACGAAATTATCTAGTCAGTTACACGACATTCGAGATGCATGGCTATTCTAGAAACTATTGCTGCTTGTGTGCTGTCTTACGTTTTTATAAGTACGCCATTTTATAGTCGTGATCTTTAGGCAGAAAGATCACGATAATTAAGGTAAATATACATGCGTGATAGTAGAATTTTCATGGCGATTCAATACAGTGAATAGATGAAGACAAATGAAACGAAAAAAGCTATAAAAATTTGACGATATGTGAAGATAATTACTATTTGACGGACGATCAGCGTACTTAATTGAGGAGTATATTATTATAGTGTCAAAACATAATTAATGCAGTTTTCAAAGACAAAAAATGCAGAAGATATTCTGATTTGCGAACAGTTCAAAATCTACAATTGAAACTCGCTTCGCAGAGAAAAATCGTAGAAGATTTGTTGAACTTGAACAAGTGTTCTCCACTGATCAATATTTCTTGCTTTCGAATTCAAATCATGAACATCTTCAAATTTCCGAAAAATGATCATTTTTTCTGCTAATTACAACTACCTTGAACAAATCATTTGATCCAATTCAACAACTTTCTTGTTTTTTTTCCTGTTCAATTTCTTAAAAGATAAATATTATAAGAACACTTCATGGAGTGACAGATTAACGAAAATGGCTTATTGAATGGCCAAAAGAGAATATTTGCTGACTATTTATCTCTTCTTATCCATAAACTTTGTTTAACCCTTTGTTGTTGTTGTGGGGTTCAAGCAGACTCACACCATATTTTTGCTTTATTTTTTTATTCCACTAGGTTCATAACTTCTTTATTGATCCACTAGTTTTAGTAAATCTATATCAAGCCAGAACGCAAAAAAAAGACATTTTTCCATCTCATAATATCTATAAAAATTTCTGGATGGTTTCAAATGACGCAAAATGAGGACACTAATGAAGGATTAAGAGATCTAGTGTCACTCATAACAAAAACAAATCTCTTTTGAAAATATTTTATCAAGAAAGAAACTATTCGAATTGAAATTAGACTTTCAATTGAATTTCTCAAAGAAAATCTTCTTCTGCTTTCGAGCTCACTTCCTCAATTACTGATTTCAATAATAAGGAGTTGCTTTCTCACCAACTAAACATTCGATTGTCGATCAATCCTATTTGGACAATTGTGTTTCTCCTCTGTCATACAGATCTTTGTTTATATCATCTGCCAACAATAAGTTCTTTTCTTCGATTCGAGACGATTTCTCTTTTGCAGCAAGGGTGTGGATGGGTGTGGGTTTGGGTGTGAGTGTGGGTGTGGGCGTGGGTGTGGTCGTGGGTGTGGGTGTCGGTGTAGGTGTGGGTGAGGGTATGGGTGGGTGTGGGTGTGTGTAATTGCGTTATGTTCATTCACACACCCACACCCACCCACACCCACACCCACACCCACACACCCACACCCACACTCACACCCACACCCACACCCACACCCACACACCCACACCCACACACCCACACTCACACCCACACCCACACACCCACACCCACACCCCACACCCACACCCACACACCCACACCCCACACTCATACCCACACCCCACACCCACACCCACATCCACACCCACCACCCACACCCGCACCCACACCCTTTGCTTTGACTCATCCCACCCTCAATATCTCAGATGCAACCGGCAACTCGTTAGAATCTTCTA